TTAGTTTTAGTAAATCCTAGTTAGGATTAGTGTTCAAGTTTTAATTTTTGCTTTCTTTTATGTTTTTTATTGTTGTATTTGATGTTTGTGGGGTTGTTTAGTGCTAATTTGGTTGGGTCTCCATGATACTTTAATTATGGGGTTTGTTTTTATGACTTGGAGGCCTAGAAAATATTTTTGTGGTGTACTTTGGTGATGGGCCATTTTTGGCCGAAAATTTTGTACAATTTTGGGGCATTTTAGGCCTAACTTTGGTTGTGCCGGTGTTGTATTGGGTGGATGGTGGTGTTGTATTTGGTGTATGGTGGTGTTGTATTTAACGTGAATCATTTGAGGAAATAAGTGTGGGGTGATGTATGCCGGAAATTGCAAGCAAATTGTGGAGCCTTTGTGGAGGTTGTTCTGCTTGAACACCTTAGTAGTGGGGAATGGGCACTTTGTATGAATGAAATAAATGGGGGCAAGTGTATGGTGCCATTGGGTGGTGAAGTCTGAGTACCCATCCAACGGGCACAACTAGGATATATTTGATGGTTCTTCTGAATTCTTTGCAGGTACTATGGCTCCTAAAAGGCAAAGGAGATCGGCAGGCGCATCCCAACGGCCTACATATGATGAATCCAGGTTCCAATCAGAACTAGCGGAGGACGACTTTCATGCCAAGGCTACGAAGAACTTCATCCATGAGATCTCGCTTGACCGGGCAGCCCTTCGCGTAGAAAAGGCAGAGATGTATGAAGAAATTCGGAGGAGGGAAATGGAATTCTTATTTGATGACCCTGCCCCGGTCAACAAGATGCTTGTTAGGGAGTTTTATGCCAACTGCCCATTGAACTTAAGTAGGGGGGTGATTGTGCGAGGCAAGGTGGTCAGCGCCACAATTCCCATGATTTGCCAGGTGTTGCGGCTGCCTCAGTTCACTAGTGACATTGACTACTACCACGACAGGCCAGGGGTTACATGGGAGGTCATGACTGATATACTCTGTGCAGAGGGGCGACCAACATGGATACGTGACCAAATCACCCTGAACTCCAACTCATTCACACACTTGGCTAAGTGTTGGTTAACTGTCATTTGCAGCCGGTTCCTGCCCTCAAGCAACACAACTGACGTGAACTTCCAGCGTGCACTGTTAACATGGTGCTTCGTGATGTAGAAGGATTTTGATGCGGCAAGGGTAATTAGTGATGAAATGGTCCTACGGGGGCCGCTGCTGTCAAAGGGATTCTACTTCCCTTCTTTGGTGACTACACTGTGCCTGCTGAAAAATACCCCCACCAATCCTGCCGATGGAGACTTGCCCCCTAGAGCAGCATTCAGAGCCTCAGGCATCAGAGTGGGCCGGGGTACACGTACCACAATTGAGATAGATGATGAGGATGATGATCCGGTTCCTCTTGCACCATCCAAGAGGTCTACTGACAGTGCCGGACCATCTCGGCGCCCCCATTCTGGAGCAGGCCTATCCCGCTCACAGTCCTCCCAGCCTATGCTGCGTTCCTTGGAGGAAGAGGTCGCGGATCTCCGCACCTCGGTGGATGGCCTACACACGCGGATAGATGCAATGTCGCAGAGGCAGTCTAGATCTGAGAGCCGGTTTATGGCCTGGTTACGTGCATTGGGGAGAGCTTGCCATGTAGACCCCAGCACCGTCTCCGACTCTGATTGAGTCTCAGGGAAGTCTTCTGGCCCTTCTGCTCTTTACTTTCTTGATATGACATGGGGACATGCCATGATTTTAAGTGTGGGGTGGGAGACTTGCTCTGATTCTGTGTTGTAATGTATATAGACGTTGTTGTGCTGTAGCAATAGATTGATGTGTTGTATATATTTGAGTGTGCTTATATTAGGAGTAGCTAACTTGGCCCAACGACAGACACTTGTCGATGGGTCTCTTGAGGGTAAAAGTCGGAATTAATGTAAACTGAAAACAAGTTAGAGGACTCTTCCTGAGGACGGACCACTTGGACAGTAATCTTGAGGGAAGTAGTCCATGTAGAATTTTTTTTTTCTCTTCTAGGTAGTGTAATACTTCCCCCTTGGTTTTTCCTTTGACCACGGTTCTTTTCCAAGGGCTTTTCTTGAACCGGGTTATGTAGATTTTCCTTTTGTAGTTTTAGGACTAAGATGGGTGAAGGCTAGAATACAACCTCTGATATGCACACTTGCAAATTACTAAAATGAACTTGAGAGTGTGACGTCTAGTCTCGCTTGTGGACTCGTAAATCCATGCCTTAATGTTGCACATCTTGTCTTGCTTGAATGCTCGTATTAGTGTGTTGATGAACTGATTCGGAATGAGTTGCATGCTAAGTGAGTGGGAGATATTACTTGCATTCTGTGCTTGCATGCGATACCTAGAACTTGCCCTGTGTGTTTGCAAAGCGAAATAGAAGTTGTTTGGTTTTAGAGATGATTGAGGCATTTCTTTGTGCAACCCTATATAATTGTGAATCCACCAGTATATATCGCCATAGTTAACCCCTTTGAGCCTGAAGCCTGTTCTTTGATAACCCTATAATGACCTAAAACTCTGTGTTGAATAGCTTGATTGTTAGAACCTATACCTCCTAAAAGCGCTTGAATCACTAAAGAACANATTGGGGGATGAACATCTTGTTTATGTGAATTACAAATTGCTAGCTTCAATCTCTATTTGTTCAACTTTGTGCTTGTTGTAGTTAATTGACAGGATCCTCAATTAGCTGTGCCTATTTAGTGTGCATAACTTGGAAAAGAGTGCATATTTAGGTTACTGTTGAACAACACCACTCCCAAAGTATAAGAGGAATCTATAATTGCGGGTTTAAAGGCGGGATTAGGGATAACGAAGCCTTGGGTGTAATCTAAAGTGAATTGTGCTAAATAAAGTAAGCTAGTGTATCTCGGGAGAGTGCAATTAGTATATTACTGTGATTACTCGGGAGAGATTTACAGTAAGATGAGCGTTCATGATTGATAGAGATGTGTTGGTAAATATGTGTGAGCATAAACAGAAGGGATTCTTTCAATAGAGGAAATCATTGCCTTAGCTTCTTCTCATCATTGTTTATAACCTTAGCATTCTAATTTTCAGCTGTTCAAGTTACTTGCAATCGTAGTTAGTAAAGCAATCTTCAACTGTGATTCAAACATCTGGCAAAATGGTTTTGAAGAGTTTAGTGGGTCTAAAGATAGTGATTGATAGGTTAACTCTCTGTGGATTCGACCCTGGGCGTAATACTCGGGTTATATTTGCAACGTCCGCAGAGTCCTTTTTAGAGGGCATAGTTGGGCGTGATCACCTTGCTCTTCAAGGGACTCTGATCGAGTGTTTATACCAAATCATAGTAATTTACTACAGTTAGGTTATTTAATGAAATAAAAATACATATTAATTAACCATAGTTAAGCGCAAGAAGTGTCTATGCAACACATGACATGCGTCATACATTTACTGATTTAGTATAAACATCCAGTGTGAATAAATTTTTACCCTTCCGAAGCGCTAATTCAGCAATCTCTACTCTCCTCTTTTTCTTCCTTTTCCTGTTTGCCTCCCAAGTCCTCAAAATCTGTCATTTTCGATTATTTCACTAATTATTAATATTCCAGATACGTTATGGTATAAGATTATTTGAACTACAAAATCAAACTAGACAACAGAGCAAGATTTCATTTTTAAGTAATAGTCAACAAATAAGATTTTATTTATCAACAGATTTTGATGTGGGGGCCATTAGCACGCCATAAATTAACGCATGTGAAATATGAGGATCACATGAATTACTATCATTATACAACTACCTCTTTGTCTTTCTCTTTGCGGTTGGTAGATCTAATATTAAAAGGGAAAATACCAGCTATGTTCATTTATAAGTAACTTATTATAAAAATTGGTCAATTCCTAAAATATTACTAATACTAGCCAATTAGCTATTTGTAGCCAAAGAGGTCAAATTTTTGCTTTCTTTTGAGTGAGTGTTATTAGAATAGATTAGGTACATCTTAAGGACCTTGAATCTCAGTTTTGGGATGATTTGGTGGAGTTTTGAGGTGGTTTGAATTGAAAATTTGAAGTAGAAGATGAACATGAAAAAATGATATGTGTATCACACTGTTAGGTAGTAAGTTAGGTAGCAAACTCGAAAAGTGTTTGGATAGCTTTCTAGAAATATTTTTTTGGGAAAAATCTTTAAAAGCTTTTTAGAAATTAAAAAAGTGTATATTTCTTCACGTGGCTTTAGCATATTTCCCTTTCTGTCATTTCATCAATTATGCAATGAATTGGCCTTCTCGTACCCCTAACTTTCTTTTTTGACATAACTGAAGTCTGACATATTAAATGCATGTCTTTAACCACTCAACAACTTGCCTCATAAAAGAATTCAGTAATATTAGTAAACTAAGAAGCAATCAAGAAAAATATTGTGCTAAGTTACATATTTAGCCTGTTAGCCAATAATAATTGCATCGGCTATTAATTATTTTTAAAATATGCATATTATATATTAATATACATTTTGGCTGCTAGTAATTTTGGGAACGACTATATCGCGTAGTTTTTTCAAAAATAATTGTTTCTTTTGGTTAAGAATCAATGACATTATATTCTTTTTAGTTTATTTAAAAGAAAATGATATAGTTCTAAATTAGGCAACTACCTAATTTAAACTTCTCATTTTTTTTTTTAACACACACTGTTATACAAATATTATGATATGTTTAACACTATAAATTTTAAAAGTCTTATCATCACACAAATTACTAAGTACTACTCCTTCCGTCCCAATTTATGTGTCACTATTCGGACTTTTAGAGACATTTGAATTTTTCTTTGATTGCATTGTTTTCATGTGTCTTTTAAATTTTTGCATTATTAATTATTGAGAAATATAGTACTTTTTACGTAACTAAAAAATTTGTAAATTGTATTCTAAATAGATTTAAAGATATTATATCGAACTCTAACAAATTTGACTCTTGAAATCCAAACAGCGCCATATAATTAATTGAGACAGAGGGGATAATAAGTTTGTGGTTGGTAGAAAATAAGTTTTTCCTTATATTTCGTGCCCAAGAGGGAAGTAACAAGAGATCATAGCAGAGTGAAAGCACAGGTGCAAAGATATGGCAATGAACAATAACTCATCAAGTAGTCTTAAAAGTCCCCTGTTGCCGCCAGCATTAGCCGGCGAAGGACGGGCGGCGGCGGCAGCAACAAACAGGTGGTGGAATAAAGTAATAGATATGGAAGAAGCGAAGAATCAGATAATGTTTTCGTTGCCAATGATCGTCGTGACGAGTAGCTTCTACTTCATTAACCTTGTATCTGTCATGTTTGCTGGACATCTTGGCAAACTTGAACTTGCTGCTTCAAATCTTGGTAATTCTTGGGCTGTGGTCTCTGGTCTAGCTTTCATGGTAGGCATCTTTCTTCCTAAATGATTATATGTTCATACCTATATATATTGTTACTGATACTTTGACCAGTAGTAACGAAGTCAGGAATTTCGCTAAAGTTGTTCCTGCGATTTAGGACTCTCGGTTGCTTAAGAGGATTAATTATTTTTCTCTTAATACTCAATATTTGAAAAACAACAACAACAACAACAACAACAAATCTACCTTAGCGACGAACATGTTATATTAGCAAAATAAAATTTGTCCAAAATATTTAGCACTATTAGAATTATAAAAAAAAAAACTTAAATTAGTGTTTCTTTTTTAAATTCCACCCTCGCTAGTCCAAGACGGCATATAATTATTAATTACTCATTTAAGGAAAAGATAATGATAATGATAATTTAATTATATTTGATTAATGTTTTAAATAATTTTTTAATGAACGTGCATGCCGAAATCTTAAATACTCACTCCGGTTCACTTTAATTGATTTTTTGATATTTTTTCGTGGTCCATAATATTTGACTTTTTCATATACCAATAAGTAATTAACTTCGTTTTTCCAAAGTTACCTTTGGAGTAAGGAGCCTAGGAATATTTGTTATATTTTCAACTGACGACTCTTAGCTTCACTGTATGTGGTTATGTCGTTGCTGCTATGAGTTCATCTGAATTCAGTAGTTTTGGTTTAGACGTTGTACGTATGTTAAAAACCTCACTTAGTACAAAAAACAAAATTTCGAAACTTAGTAAATTAGAGGAGATATGGTAGTATTCCGAATACGAATTCATAAAGTCCAAATCATGAATTCACATGTAATTCTATGGTATTTTCTTTGGCATTTGATTTTTAGAAGAGATGATCTAAGAAAGTCCAAGTTTGATATTCAACTTTTCGTTTTGCCCTATGCTTCCATTTTTAAATGAAATTAAGTTTTAAACTTGTGAATGTATAATACTCTAGGTTGGTCTAAGTGGTGCCCTTGAGACACTATGCGGCCAAGGATATGGCGCAAAAATGTACAGGATGTTAGGGATACATCTACAAACATCATGTATCATATCATTCTTATTTTCAACAGTGATTGCTGTTATCTGGTGGTATTCTGATATGATACTGATTTTACTTCATCAAGATCCTGACATAGCAAAACAAGCAGGGGTGTTCCTGAAGTTTCTCATACCTGGATTGTTTGCATACGGTTTCTTGCAAAACATTACGAGATTTCTTCAGGCTCAGTCGATTATCATACCTCTTGTCGTGTGCTCAGTTGGATCTTTAGTTATCCACATTGGCATTGCCTACACGTTGGTTCATTGGACGGGTCTTGGTTTCAAGGGAGCATCGTTAGCAGCTTCCATTTCGATCTGGATTTCAGTTCTTACCTTGGGTCTATACGTGCTTTTCTCCGAAAAATTCAGCCATATATGGCGGGATGGTTTCTCATACGAGCCATTTCACCATATCCTTACAAACTTGAAGTTGGCTTTGCCCTCTGCTGCTATGGTCTGGTGAGTATCATATATATATTTGTTAATTTGGTTATTCTTGTAAAAGAAAACATTGTCATTTAAGTTATAACATAATTCTCAATGAGGGGCCAAGTGCATAGATAGTCATTCTCAGGGTAGCTATTTAGATATTAGCCAGTAGTTATTTTGTCCTGAAATTTTAAACTAAAAATCTTAACTTTAGGACAATTCAAGACATTTTTGTCCCGAAAAATTAAACTGAAAAACTAAAATTCAGGACGCACTTGCTAATTCTTAAATAACAGCGTGACTACCTGGTGTCATTTCTACCTTTTTTTACAGATGGTAAAACTATAATGATAGGGTGAAATTCTTTGACACTGTTGCGTAAATAAAGAGTAAATCTTTTCCTAATTTAATCTGTACACAGTTTGGAGTACTGGGCTTTTGAGCTTCTTGTGTTATTGGCTGGTTTGATGCGAGACTCGGCAACATCTACTTCGGTAATTGCAATGAGGTAAGCCTCTATGCTTTAAATCATCGCATTTTCACATTTTTGAAGGCTTAATCTTAGTTTAGCTGACACCAATTCTTTTGAGTTGTGAATTTCCAGTGTAAATACCGAAGCCATTGCCTACATGATGTCTTATGGTCTGAGTGCAGCTGCAAGGTAATGCGACCACGAAAATATAATTTTTCCATAGTTTAGATTAGGAGCGGAGCTACCGTTCTGTTTACGGGTTCGGCAGAACCTAATAGCATTTGGCCCAAACCAGGGGCGGCCTAAGAGTAAGGCAAATGTAGTCATTGCCTTGAGCCCCGAAAAATTAAGGGCCCCAATTTTAATACTATGTATCACATATATTCATGTTTTTTTTATGTTTCTAATGATTTGACTTTCTAATTTTAATTAAATTTCTCTGATTGGTTATTTCTTTTCACCACATTTTATTGATCCATCAATTAGAAAGTAATTTTTTTTGTTCATCTTTTTAAGAGAAATCCCCAAATGCAATGGGGAGCAAGGTTCGAAAGTCGACAGATTATCTTCATTTCCTCTCTACCTTCTTCCACATAATTAATGCTATTTTCATTTACGACAAAGTTTCGAACTGTGATGAGCACCTAATTCATACATCACGCATTGTACACTTACCATTAGGCCAAAGTCCTAGGAGTTTGTTTTGTCTCATTATTATATGAACTTACAAAAGAAATTTAAGGGGCCTTTTAACATGTTTCGGCTTTAGGCCACAAAATCCGTTGAGCCGCTCCTAGCCCAAACTCTTTATTTGTGTTAAATTTTTTACTTAATATGCATAAATAATTTATCATAATCCAGTAAGCTGTCCTTTCTAGAGTCCACAATTCATAAATTTAAAATTCTAGCTCCGCCCCTTGTTCTAATCCACCTTTTTTTTTGTTATCCATAATTTGTTGCTGATACCAAATTAATGTGTATTGTATTTTATATGCAGCACTAGGGTAGCAAATGAGTTAGGAGCTGGAAATCCTGACAAAGCAAAACATGCTATGGCTGTTACTCTCAAGCTATCTATTATTCTTGCTCTTATAGTTGATTTGGCTCTATTTTTGGGTCATAATATCTGGGCCGGCCTCTTTAGTGATAGCCCGGAGATAATTAATAAATTCGCCTCCATGACGCCTCTCCTGTTAATTTCCTTTGTATTCGATTTCTTTCAAGGAGTTTTATCAGGTCAGATTTTTGTTTACATAATATTCATGATATATATTCCACGAGATATATCATACAAATTAGTTTTGCATTCAAAATAAGGATCTTTACAAAAATAGCTGTCTATATTCATTGTTTACTTTTTCTAGCCATATACATAGTTTATACATTGATTATAGGCTATTTTTTGTTTAAACGGTTGGGTGGACGGCTATTTGTGTAAATTCTTCTTCAAAATAACGTAAAAATGGCGTGTAGTAGCCACTAATTAAGGGTGTCTTTAATTTTTATCCACTAATTATAATGCTCAGCAAAAATAGCCACTACTAATAGAAAAAAGACAATTTTACCCTTTCTTCCTCTCTTTCGCGTTGCATTTTCATCTGGAATACCCAAGGCGCTTTCACGGTCGGCTTCCTCCATGCTTGGTCAATAGCATCAGGTCTATTAGTGACCCCAATTACTAGGACATAACCAGGTCCATCATGAGATCCTTCTGATTTTGCTTCACTATTCCTTTTCCAATACGTACCGTAGTTCCTTTTGCATCATCAAAATTTTCAAGTTCTGAATTTTTGAGCAGATGTCTCAATTACGTACAGTAATTTCTTTCTTCTTACCTTGTTTTTGTTTCTTTTGAGTTCAAAGATTAAAAGTTAAGGACATGAGTTTTAAGTTTGACATGCAGGTTTAAAAGTTAAGGACATGTATTCCTTAAATTTGACATGCAGGTTCAAAAGATAAGGACAAACAATCCTTAACTTATAGTTTCAAGTTCAAAACTTAAGGATAGTCAGTATTTAAGTTATTGTTTCAAGTTCAAAACTTAAGGACTTTCTGTCCTTAACTTTGAGTTTCAGTTTCAAAAGTTAAGGACAGGCAGTCCTTAACTTATAGTTTCAAGTTCAAAACTTAAGGACGTGCAGTCCTTAAGTTATTGTTTCAAGTTCAAAACTTAAGGACATCCAGTCCTTAACTTTGAGTTTCAGTTTCAAAAGTTAAGGACAGGCAGTCCTTAACTTATAGTTTCAAGTTCAAAACTTAAGGACGTGCAGTCCTTAAGTTATTGTTTCAAGTTCAAAAGTTAAGGACAGACAGTCCTTAACTTACAGTTACACGTTCAAAAGTTAAGGACAAGCAGTACTTAACTTACGGTTACAAGTTCAAAAGTTAAGGACAATAGGTCCTTAACTTTGACTTACAAGTTCAAAAGTTAAGGACGCTTGGTCTTGAAGTTTGAGTTCCAAGTTCAAAACTTAAGGACATGTAACGTTGAAGTCCTGAACTTAGAGTTCCAAGTTCAAAAGTTAAGGACATGTAGTCCTGAAGTCCTGAACTTAGAGTTTCAAGTTCAAAAGTTAAGGACATGTAGTCCTGAAGTCCTGAACTTAAGGACATGAGCAGAAGGGTATTTTTGTCCGAGCAGTTAAAGTTTATTAAACCAGTGGCTAAAGACTAAAGACATTTAAAACGCTGGCTTTAAAATAAAGACATAAGCTGTTAGTGGCTATCTGTGCACATCTTACTAAAAGTGTAATTGAATTGATCAGGAGTGGCTAGGGGATGCGGGTGGCAACATTTGGCTATGTGCATCAACTTGGCAACATTCTATGTCATTGGCATGCCAATTGCAGGTCTCCTTGCTTTCAAATTTAACCTACAAGCTCAGGTAATTCAAGTGCACGCCATGCTCAGTTTTTTCTCGCATTCAGATAGACGAATCTTAGATTTAAACTCCACTTTTATGTCCGCTATTTAAAATGTATCCACAATTTACGATATATTTAAAGATTAGCCAATTCATCCAAATTTCAGGACTAAGTATCCTGAATTTGAATATTCAGGACTTAGTGTCCTAAATTTTTGAGCTGCTAATTTGAAATTCAGGACTAAGTGTCATGAGTTTCTGAACTACTAATTTAAAATTCAGGACATAAGATTCAACCTTCTGGACAAAATTTTTGAACTTTAGGATACGATGTCCTGAAGTTTGAACTTTGAGGTTTAAACTCTAGGACACTCTGTCTTGAAATTTGAGTGAAATCGACTAATCTTTAAATACATTGTAAACTGTGGATATATTTTAAACAATATACTTAAAAGTGGCTACCTGGTGTCATTTCCACTCCTTTTTATGTAGTAAACTCATTTTCTATTTACAATTATGAGTTAAGAATCTAATATTCGTAAATTTTTTTAGTGATTTTTTAATATCTATGTCTATGCTACGTGTCAAAATCAATAATAGGTTGAACGCAATTGAACGTATGATTTTAATATATTAAATCGCAATTAATCTAGATATAATAAAGTTGTAGTTAATTGATTAAAATGTGTTTTTTTATTATAAAATATGATGCAGGGTTTATGGATGGGCTTGATATGTGGTCTAGCTTGCCAAGCTTCTGGCTTATTGCTACTCACATTGTTTACCAGATGGGGAAAAGTAGAGGGCTCAACAAAAAGCAATAGAGAAAATGAACTTCTAGCTTAAGCTTGAGTTCATAAGAATAACTAAGTTGACTTTCTTATAAAAATTTTATTAGTTGAGTGTTCGTCTGAGCAAGTTATTTCGAGAATAACTTGTGTATTAGCCACTGGTTGACTTATTGGCCATTTTTGATTGAGATTTGAGGGCTTATTGCATGACCCTTAAATTTTGGTTTCTTTAATTTTTAATTTCGAGGTCGCTAAGGTTGAAATTTATGTCATGGATTTAGTTTTCAGTATCTTGCTGTACCAACCTGATTGCAAACGGATCGAATTTGGTGTTGTTCTCATGCATATCAGATGGAAAGATTCAGGGCGGTTCAATTAATTTGGTGGCCTCGAGGCCTTATTCTTTTTATAAAAAAAAATCCTATATAATTTTATTTGAAGTTTTTCTAGCTTTTTCAGAATAAAAATTTTAATAATTTTTTACATAAACCATTTAATCTTAACATTATTGATCTTAAAATAAAACTCGATTCAAGAAATTGATAACTTTATATCAGAAACTTTTTTTAATGTTTCAATATGCTTGTTGCAATGATGAAAATCTGAGACAAACAAAAAAATGGAGTTTAAAAGAGTATTACTAATTTTCTAATGATATATGTAATCTTTTCTTTATATAAAATATTTAACTTTTCTATTTTGAAATACTTAATATTTTCTAAAAGAATTTGGGGCCTCACAAGAAGAGTTATAGTGGATGGATAGGATTCTTCCTTCCTTAACCGGATTTATTCGGTGCAAGTCCTGGGAATGAAAAATTCTTTTTAAGGAACGGTTCCCACTTTAATAGACTTTACATAGTACGAATTCGAATTACTCAAGGCCCCAAATCAAATATCAGACATCGGGTAGGAATTGGAAAAAAAATTGGGGCCTCTAAAATTCTGGGGCCTAAAGCCCCCACTTTAATGGCTTCACTCTCTGGCCGGCCCCGGAAAGAATAAGGGCAAAATACAAAATTGATCGGTCTGTTAAAACTAATTGCATTCTCTAGCCAAAAAAGAATAAAATATGTAGATTTTTAAAAATATATTATACATATATACAAAAAATATATATTGCCGGTTGTTATTTTTAGGAGCGATTAAAATATTTATTTCTCAAAGAATAATGGGTTCAAAGTACAAGAAAATGTTACTAAAAAATACCTAGAAAGAGCTTAGATCATGCATAAACTCGTCAACAAGTGCGGATATAGGGGAAGGTACGAGTCTATATTGTTCCGGTGTTAAAATATAAAAATTAAATTTATCGAGTTAAAATCATGAATTTGTTATTGGTATTCTATAGGGTTGTGTTCATTTATTGAACCCACTTTATCTTGACCCAATCCATCTAACCCATTTAAAGTTGGACTGATTTTAGCCCAAATTGATCCATGACTAACTTTGCAATATATCTCAGAAATAATTTTTTTAATTTGATATGTTATATATGACCATAACAAAAGAAAGTAAGTCTTATTTAATAATTATGCAATTCATAAAAAAAAAACACACACACATATTAAGAAAAAATTTGATAAGAGTTGGACGGGTTGGGCTATGACCCAAATTTTAGCACATTTTGATACAGTTCATCCTAGCCTAAATAACGTTTGGGCGGATCATTTCAACCCGTTTTGACCCGCCTAAAAATTGGTTCCACCCGCCCATTTGACACTCTATAAAACGAGATAGAAAGAGCGTTAACTTTATAATCACTGAATTTCTAACTTTTATACCAAAACCTGATTGCAAACCTGTCAGATTTGGTCTTTCCTTATCCAAATCCACATCTTACCTAACAAAATTCATAAGGAATTAAGGATCACTTACGCGTTGTTTGGATGGTTGTTTCCGGTTGTATTGTATTGTATTGTTACCCCAGATACAATGTTTGTTTTGATTGTTAATATAAAACTGATTGTATTGTATTGTTAAATCCATTGTTCCGGAACAATGAAAACTCCCATTTTATGAAACAACCAAATCGGTGTGGTGGGATTGTTCCGTATTTTCCTTTCCAATTATGCCCACACTTATTATTCTATATTTCAATTTTATCCTTTACCCTATTATTTATATTATATTCACCAAACTAATAAGTACTTTGTCTCCATCTTCTTTCTGCCGTGCAACTAGTCAACGACGTATCGTCTCTTTCCAACAAAATTTTTACAGGTTAGTTTTCATCTCTTTTCTTCCTGTTGTTACCCCAGGATTAATTTTCATCTCTTTTAGTTTTCAGTAGAAAAGTTAGTTTTCTTCCGTGCAACTAGTCATCTCTTTTAACTAATTTCACTGTTGCTATTGTGTGTCATGTGCTTTTTGCTCATTGTTATTATGTACCATTACTGTTGGTTTTAGCCAGATACTTTTGGCTTTTAATTTTAGTTTACTGAAAATTTGGGGGCAGGGAACCACAGACGATGCTGGTTTTGATTCACCTTGTTGAATCTTTTCAGAAATTTAAGATTATTTGGGACAAATGATTGAGCAAAAATAGGGCAGGGAATTTTCCTCTAAATAATAAATGGAGAATGTTATTCACATGAATGCCTGTTTTAGTATGTTCTTATATTTGTTTTTTCTATATGTATACCTTGTTTAAAATAACCGAGGGTATTTTAGTAAACTTAGCAGTACAGTACAGTACAGTACAGTCAAATCAAACAATAAAGATGTTATTTAACAACAGCAAATGATACAGTTTATCCAAACGTTGTATCCATCAAAACGATACAATACAGTACAGTACAATACAATACAGTACATTATAAAACGATGGGGAACAATGATCCAAACACAAGAGTTAAGTATTCATTCTTCATCACTAATCTCTGCCTACTGGGCCAACCGCAGGAAAACCCAAGATTTTGTGGCGGATTTACTCAAATGACCCTTTTTAGAGCTATTGCTTATACTTCGTTCTTGTTTTAAAAGTTTTGCAAATATAACCTAGTGCTTAACAACCGGAAGATGAAAATTTTGTGGTATTATAACTTTTAGCCCGTGCCAGAAATTATTTACATCTGGTAGTCGAAAAAGTATATAAAATTTATAGAATTTTTGTATATATATATATATATATACAAAAATATACAAATTGTATGTATTTTTTTTATTATTATTTTTACGGCGCCTATATAATGTCATTTTTTTCGAAAAAATTCGCACTCCAACTTCCGGAAATTTAAAACTTTGGTAATAGATTTTTTTTATAGGTAGTCAAGTTTCTTCTACAACTTAGATATTGACCTACAATTTTCATTGTAAATGTTTGTGACTTTTCTGGGCGATGTTTACCAATAATCTTCGCTAAACCAACACACACAAACATACACTTAACTCCATCTTCACCATTTTTCTTCGGACTTACACTATACTAAGTATTACAAACGTTAATCTTTGGCAGTCCGGTGTATTAAGTTCCCCCTACGTGCGGTGTTCGGTGAAAGGTCGGACTATAAGGGTCCATTGTACGCAGCCTTACCATGCATTTCTGCAAGAGACTGTTTCCATGGTTCGAACCCGTGACCTCCTGATCACATGGCAATAACTTTACCAGTTATGCAACAAAATGTTCGTCTTTATAATAAGATAACTCAAAATTCACTTTGTACATACTCGATTATATCCACTCTTCATACACGGTACAGTTTTCGTTACCCATGCCAAAATTACCGTAGCTCCATAATTTAAAGTCACCATCTCCGCCTTCATCTTCTTCACTAATTATATATTTTTTCGCCTACCTAATGTAAATTATTTTTGACACTAGTTAAAAGTGAAAAAAACCCAAAAAAAGACAAACGATTAAATTTTTACAGATAGGAGCTCTAATTAGGCCCAAGTTTACGTAGCTCGCAAATTACAATCAAAGCTAAGTTTTTGAGAAATGATAATTTTAGCCGTTCCCAAAAATAATAGTCGCTAAAATATATGTTTTTTGTATATTATACTACATACATATATATATTACTCTTATATCTATTGGCACGAATGCAATTAGCTTCGAACGACCGACTAATTTTATATTTTCCCCAAAGTTTTTTCTATTTTCTTTATCAACAACCAAACATGAAGTCCATTTAATTAATTAAATACACTTACCGTTATGTCCTTAACCTTTCTCCACGTGTTCAATATATAATCCAAACACACTTTTGTCTTTTTTTCCTCTCTTAATTAAACACATTTTTCCAATTCTTTTTTCAATAAAACACATTTTTCCAAATTGTTGTGCTTTTTCTTTACTTTGCAACGGTAACCTTTTCAACACCCCTTATATATAACTCTTATATCTCATTCCTTAAACCTCAACATCAGCCTACAAAATTTCCTCTTACTATTGTTCTGAATTTCAGTTTCCTTTTTCTCTCTTTTTCTCATCACTCATCTTCTCTTCTCTATATTTATATATATCAAAGAAATTGTTACTATAATTCATGGCTTTGCATAAACATCTTCTATTGATTTTCTTAGCTTGTTTGATTAGCTCTTCTTATGCTTATCAATTCTACGTTGGTGGAAAAGATGGTTGGGTTCCTAACCCTTCTGAAAATTACAACAATTGGGCTGAACGAATGCGATTCTCGGTCAATGACATTCTACGTAAGTTCTGTTGAATCGTGTGATCATCTCGTTTATAAGATGTGCTCGTAAATATTTATGTTCTGATTGACTTGTATGATCTCAGAAACAGTCTTTCTGCCCTCTCAGGATAGAGATAACGCATGCATACATACTATTCTCTCAAAACCCCACTTGTGGGATTCACTGGATTTGTTGTTGTTGGTGTTGTTGATTGATTTGTATGATCATCCCGTTGAAGAGATGTGTTTCTATTTTTTAAGTTGTGAATGAATTGTATGATTGACCATCTCGTCTAAAACATGTGCTCATAGTCTTGATTATTTATTCTTTTTGAAATTGTATGATTGACCATCTAATCTAAAACATGTGCTCGTAATCTTGAAGTTTTGATTGAATTGTATGATTATTGACCATCTCGTCTAAAACATGAGCTCATAATCTTGAAGTTCTGATTGAAATGTGTGATCATCTTATCTAAAAATATGCTCGTATATTTTAAGTTTGGATTGAATTGTATGATCATTTCTGTATTTTTATTTTAGCTTATTGATTTTTTTTATTTTTTTTTGGTTTATGTAGTGTTCAAGTACAAGAAAGGATCAAATTCAGTATTAGTGGTAAACAAGGATGATTATGACAAGTGCAACACAAATAATCCGATCAAGAAAATGGATGATGGGAATTCTATATTCAAATTTGATCGTTCTGGTCCTTTCTTTTTTATTAGTGGAAATAAAAATGATTGTGAAAAAGGATCACAAAAATTAATTATTGTTGTTTTAGCTATTAGAACTCCTCCTTCTTCTCCTACACCACCTACCCCCTCAACTCCAGCTCATGGTCCTGTAGCTTCTCCTCCGGCAACATCTCCGGCGACACCTCCGGCAACATCTCCAGTTCCTGCTCCTGTAAACCAAACACCTAGTTCATCTCCAGGAAATGCTCCAACTCCGGCAATATCTCCGGCGACACCTCCGGCGACATCTCCAGTTCCTGCTCCTGTAAATCAAACACCTACTTCATCACCAGGAAATGCTCCAACTCCAGCATCTTCTCCAGCTATATCTCCGTCAACATCTCATGCGCCGTCAATCAACAGTCCATCATCTTCGCCGTCGCCGGCTACATCTCCGGCACCGGCGAGAATTTCACCATCCGGAGACATAACAGCTCCATCGCCTTCATGGAGTGGCTCATCATCATCTCCAACTTCATCTCCTCCGGCATCAAGCACGCCGGAATCACCAGGGAAGTCACCGCCGGGAAGTATTGCTCCGACAACTGGCGGCGGAAACTCTCCGCCGGCGGATATTCAGTCACCTACTGGTTCATCAACCAATAGCAAGAATTCTGCAGTAAAAGCATTTACTCCTTCAGCTGTATTGATGTCAATTGTTTTGACTATAGTTTTGGGAGGATTCGTCGTTTCTCCTTAGTGGAAAATAGTCCAAAAAAAAAAAAAAAAAAAGAGAGAGAGAGAGAAAATACTAAATTATAGTTACTTATAGTTTGGTTTTCTTTCTCTTTTTGTTTGTTTTTTTTTTTCCTTCTCAATTGTGTTTTATTTGATTCTTGGTACATTGAATTATTGTGAGGTTTGGATATATACAAAGGCAGTATTTAGTTATTATTTTTATCTTTTGTTGTGTTGTCCTTGAAAGAAAAAAGGACAGTCCGGTGCACTAAATTCTTTGCGCAGGGTCTGGAGAAGAGTCGGACTGTAGAGTTTATTGTACGCAGTCTTTTCCTGCATTTCTATAAGGGTCTGTAGTGCAAGGGCCACACTCCAAGGAGCGTGACGTTGAAAGTCTATTTTAATACAAATATTAATGACTGTTTTCAAGACGTGAACTCGTGATATATGGGTCACGTGGAGAGTATATAATGAAGTTTGATCTTGTTCATTGTAATACATTTCTTTTCTCTTATTAGTATTAATTATCTAACATTCTAAACTTATTGGTCTAATTACTTTAGATCATATTGTATAAAGAAAGCGCTCTTTATCGGATTTTTTCATTCTCATACGTCGAACTAATATTTTTGGTTAATAGAGCTCGAACTGATACATCTGATAAGGGGCGGAGCCACAGTTTTGGTAACGGGTTCGACCGAACCCAATAGTAAACCGTATTTGTCTTAAAATATTTATTGAATAGGTATAAATTCTTCCTTTAGAACCCAATAACATAAAAAGGTTAGAATATTGAACCCAATAACTTCAAATTTTGGCTTCGCCTCTGCATTTGATTAATAATAAAGAATCTCATTCATTCCGCCACAATTGTTGGTAGTATATGTTTATTGTTTAGCTTACAGTCAAACCTCTCTATAACAGTCTCGTTGTTCAGTTATTTTTTGGCTGCTATAGTGAAGTGCTATTATAGAAAATATATATTATAACATAATGTTAAAATGGACTCCGGAAACATCTGACTTTAATAATAAATAGTTGTTATATAGAGGTCTGACCGTATATGCAAAATTTAAAATCGGACAGTTGCCGCTTAGAAAATTTACTTTGCCAAGTAAAGCCTACAAGTGTTTTAAGTTCAACGTATATAGCATTTAATTTTTCTCTTTATATGGATACTTTATTAATTTACTTGTAGATATCACAATTTGTGTATTATTGACTTATTGTGATTAATTAAGCTTTCATAGCTTAATTACGTCTTTCATTTAAAAGAGCAAGCTGGAACGTAGCGACAGTTTTTCCGTTTTAGTGGTAATAATGTAAACTTAAGTACTTAACTTAAGTAGCAATTAAACAAAGATATTACTTTTGTTTGACTGGCCTTCCTAAATTTTATTTAAATTAATGCTTGCGTAATGGTCCTTATTTAAGTACTCAACTCTTTGTTTTTGCTTTTGGCAAATGCTAATTAATACCATTAGAAAAGAGTTGAAAATTTTGTCGTTTAGTTGGTGGGATGGTATAGATAAGAATATGCCATGCGTTGGAATAGCTCATGTGATTACGTATTCCGCTTTTTATATGGGATAGCTAATCCCGACATTTTAGTACGAAATGAATTCCGAGACTAATTAATACTCATAATCAAATACAAGATAAAATAATCTCATATTTTATCCCGAGATTATTATCCTTTATGGGTACATGCAGAAATTTTAATAAGTGGTGTCGAAATTTATAAAAGAACGAGTATCAAATTTATAGACAAAAAAGCCTTAGTCCATTGGTTTTGTTGAGACTTAAGTTAGAAAAAGTCTTGAATTCAGTTCTACTTAATCACAATTTTTAAATACAAAGGCTCTCTCAAATATTTGTGAAAAATACGTGCTACTTGAGGTTCGACCCTCTAACCCCTTAGAGAAAAATCAAGAACATAACCATTATGCTAGAGTGTTGTCATTTTTTCTTATTTATCCGTTTTTCTCACAATATTAATATATATATTTAATAAAAATTTTCGATTGCCTTTATCCCACCAACCATATGACCCCTAAGATAGTTACAATTTTAACAAAGTAAAAATGGTAACGTGTCCTTCCCATCCTAATTATTTTTGGTCCTAAATCTTTATTCTAACTATTTAAGCAAATTAATTGTACTTCTCAATCGGGTTGGAAAGAAAGACAGATCAAAGAAAAATAAATCACGACCTACTTTTGTCATGTTATATACAATAATATAAGTTGCCAACTTGTCCTATGGCAAAGCACTCTCTGATAAAAGGAAACCCAATTCTCTGTTTTATTCCTTTAGAATTTGGATATACAGTCAAATCTTTCCATAATACTTTTATTTGTTTTGATATTTTTTGATTGCTATAATAAAATATTATTATAAGAACAATATATATTATATCATAACACGAAAATTAGTTTCAAGGAATAATTAGTCAAATAGTAAAGTACTACTATAAATGATGATTGTTATAAAGAAGTGTGACTATAATATTTAAACAGAAAGAAAGCTTTTGGGACCAAGACGTATTTACTAACACTTCAGCATAAAAAAATAAGAATAATAAGAAGGTAAATTAAAGGAGTGCATTTTTTTTTAGCATATGATATCCGGAATCTACCGACCCAATTAATTTAATTTTGTATATCTGATGATAGGCTATAATTGTGTATTTTAGTCGATTATTACACTCAAATTTACTTCACTTTGATTGAGTTTGAGCTTTAATCGCTAGTGTCTTGCACTAACTGTGTGTTTTATGCCTTGTAGGAGTGATTCCGAGCTATATAGATGTTATGGAATGAATTCAAGTGATTTGGAGCTTTGAAGTCTGAGTAAAAGCTCAAGGAATTAAGCCGGAATCGTGTTTGGAGGTCAACGGATGATAGTTAGAGCGGACGAAGAATCGAGTAGGCATATTGCACACTATGGATATAACATTTTGCTCAGAACTCCATTTGGTCTCCACAATATATGGTTGGAAATCTAACTCAAAGGGCCACAACTTTCATGTTTTACGTTTTTCCAAATTCCAAACGGAACGGGGCTAAACGCGCAAGATTTGAGCCAAAACGAACGAAACCGGGAAAAAAGGGCCAGTTGGGCGCCACAGGCAGTGCCTGGAGCCACCTGTGGCGCCAAAAATAGTATGCACAAATATTTGGGCGCTATGGAGGGCGCCTGGCACCGGTGACGTGAAATGTGTTCTATTTCGCCCGGGACAAGGTTATTTCGGCCCTAGACCTACCCAACACGTATAAAAGCAAGACTAAACCTATTTTTGAAGGGGAGGACGCCACTTTGGTGATATCTAACATATTTTGAAGGGAGTTTCACGTGGGGGAACACACACCACGCTTGGAGGAGGCTTCCAACTAGTTTTTCTTCTCTTCTCTTCTTTTAGTTTCATAGTTTATTTGTTCTAGAGTTGTTGGGTGCTACATGAACGTTGTAGTTTGAAGCTTGAATTGTTCTTATTATTTTATCATATTAGTTTATTTATTCAATCTTGCGCTTAATTATTTGATTGCTTGATCACCAATTGAATACTATCTACGAATCTAGGATTGAACTCGGGAGAGGGAATTCTAGATTGCATATAAGATTGAGTAGAGCAAGATCTTAACTCTTAGGGGGAGCGGATTTGCGGTTAGGATAGGAATATACCTAATTGCCTTGCTTGGTTATTATACGGGAATTATAAATGCGTTCTTGTTAATCCTAATTCCATAGGAATATAGGCGTTAGGTTAGCTTGAATAGGCGAGTTGTACTTCGGGAGAAGGCTACGAGCAATATTAACCCCGTCAACCAATAAACTAGATAAATTAATTAGACAATTTAGGTAGAAAACTCAACGGGATTGTTAGCTAACCCATAGCTCTAGAATATTCACTCACATTGACTTCGTCTCTATAATTCACCAACTTGTTTTCTTTAATCTCTTAATTTGTTACTCTAGATTAAATTTTAGTTAAATATTCATACTTTAGGATTCGCTTGAATAAATTAATTGTTTGGTTTAATTTAGTTGATAGTTAATCACAAGTCCCTGTGGGTACGATATCTGGACTTAAAATCCTATATTACTTGTCGACCACGTATACTTGCGTGCGCGTTTGGGAGCAACAAGTTTTTGGCGCCGTTGTCGGGGACTTAGAAATTAACTATTCTACTAGATTAGATTTTTACTTTTTGCCTATTCAAGTTTTTTTTTTTAATATTTTATTATCTTTGTTGACATGGCATCTTGGAATGAGAATTGGTCAAATATTGGTTATTCTTATTATAGTGATCCTTGTCCATATTGTGGAGGACCACACTTGTGGCAAAATTGTGCATCTCAATTTGATGTGTGGAATTTTTGTAATATGTGTGGTGGTCAAGGTGGCCATTGGGATGGTTGTCCTAATTCTTATTATCCTTCTCAGAGTTCTTATTATAATATTTCTAATAATGTTTATGAGTTTGATAGGAGCAAGGAAGTGGAGCATATGGAAAGCATGGCTCGTACTATGGACATGATGAGGCAAGTAGTCGAGCAACAAGATGAAATTCGAAAGGCTGCACAAAGAATTAGTGCAGCAATCATGAGAATGAAGGCCGATGCGAAAGAAGTGGCTGAAGAGAGCGAGTTCCCACTAGAAGATAATTTAGAAGAAACGGATATAGTGAGCCAATCTTGGCTAGAGGAACAAGCTCAACTGATAAAATCTCATGACTTTCTACGTGATAGTCTTTCAAATATGACAGAACAACTAATAGAAGGAAGAACTGAGCTCAGGCAAGAAATCGACCAATTTGGCAGCTCTATTCGCGACGTGGATGCAGAATTGAGTGCAAAGATTGATGCGTGTAGCGCTCAACAATTTAGTGATGAGTTGTGTGAAGCTGAAAAAGATCTTCTAGGCCAAATTGAGGAGCTAAAACGAGAATACCAATCACTAGACCATGTTTTTGTTGATGATGCCGAGGTTGAGGAAGAGTGCAAAATTGAGGATGTCAAAGATAATGCAATTTTGGAGTTGGAGCGTATTGGACCTCATTCTAAACACTTTTCAACATTGTGTTTGGTTGGTGACATGGGAATTGATCCAGCCGAGCATATGGAGGAGTCAATGGATGAAGAACAAAGTATTTATATTCTGAAATTTGTGATGTCAAGGAGACAAAACGACATTCCTCACTTAAAGGCCAAAAAGTG